GTATTCACCGAGTGCATATGTTGGTTACTGACGAATGAGATTATATTCGCTAAATATTCTGCGCTTGAATACTGATTCATTCCTTCCTCATCTGCTTAAGTGTGTTATTAACCACCTGTTTTCAGTAGTGGGTATAACTATACAATAACATTTTATTTGTTCTTAGTGCAGAGTTTTATAAGACATGCACGAAAGATTAGCATCTTTCTTGGCCAAGTAGACTGGTTTACATACGGATTTGGTTTTTACGGGAGACCCAACTGAATCGCTCGTTTCTATGGTGTTCTTTTTGTATCTCTTGTTTTATGAGTAATATGTGACCAAAAAGTCAAAGCGATGGATGCTATCGAGCAACGGATGCTGTTGCATTTACTTTCCCTTGTGCTGTTCACTTTTGGTTAATATCACGGCATACAAACCAACGAATGGAACACGCGAACTAGTTAGTGTCGTTTGACGTCGTACCGCTTCATTTAGCTTGCACTCTAGCAGTCACCCACAATTCAATGATTTATGTAGGTGTTGTCGCGAAAATACTTGACCTTATCGTGGTGCAATGATGTGTGTACCTGGACGGTTAATACCTTAATAGATATATGCAACATCCAAAATTTATTTTAACAGGATGGTCGATGGATAGAGTTCTGAAAAGCACAAACGTCTAGGTCTGGTGGTATAGAAAGAATGCCAACTTCACCCTTTGGCCACCCGCGTAGTCTTACGTCAACGGCCACTCACGTGCAGTCAGGTATTTGAAACGAAAGACCCGGTTCAGTAGTCTAATCAGTATCATGACTAGGTGTGAATTCCCAGAGACTATTCCAACCAATGTACAACCACGAAATTCAAGCAGAGTGCTTTCAAGCTACATCATTTGTCGTGTACTGACATCTGCAGGATTTCCCCAATCGCTCTGTAGCAGATGAGCGAAAGGATATGCTCTTCGTGCTCATCATACTTCTCCAGTGTTACCTCTTGTCGTTGTGCCTCATGGTTTCTCCGATCTCAGCAGCTCGACCAGGTAATCAGGGATGCGACCAACTGCACGCCAATGCTCATACCTCACGCTTTGTATCCACTATTCCAACCCACTTCCTTTATCATTACAGCTTTTAACGTGAGAAAACTCAGGCATGCGGGTGAGTCCCACTCGCGTACACCATGGATACTTTATCCATAGAAATTTCCTGCTTTACTGCAAGATAAACGCACGTTAGGTGAAGCTGTCTGGATGTAATCGACTGCAAACTACAGACGACTCTGTAACGGAATAAGCCTATGTTGGCATAGCCCTTAACTCTCGAATTGATACTTCCTTATTGGGGAAGATGCCCATGAATAGCCTAGTCGGTACTGTCCATCGCTTTAAGAGCTTCTGCTTGTCAACATACTGATTATCTTTCATTCATGAGGCCAACTTTGCACCAACCAACTGTAGATCTGATCTGGTAAAAGAAATTTCCTATCCTCTTGTCCACTAGCGAGAGTTCGGGTGTAGTGGCAATAGGTGGAGAATCAGACTAGTGGGTCACCCCAGTTCACCAGTGACTCGTCCCGGCGGTGTGTTTGACCCAGACACAAAATGGGATGCTGATAATGAGCGCTGAGTCTGGATGCAATGTGCTATCTGGAATCACGCCACCGTTCAGCGAAATCAGTTATATGACCCTCAGATGCCGACGCCGAATAAGTTCTTGGCTACTGCTCACTCCATAATTCCAAGACCAATTCAAATAAATCTCTCTTTCAATGTAAACTGTCATCTCTACGTTAATCCAGTAATTCCAAAAAGAGCTTTTTTATCTGGTACCAGGAAAGCATTACAGATCACAATGTAACCAACAGCATTTCCACTTGTAATTGCTGACCTCAAGTAGATATCGGATATTTTCTAGACGGAACAATACTCATAAGGTTTATGAAAATCCAAGCTAGTTTGCGAATGCGTGTATTTTGCCAACTGAATCATGGGTTCAAATGGAACATTGGATTGACGAAAGTCCTGGGATTCCGTACAGCTGACGAGACCCAATAACGTCGAGACCACTCGTGAACCATCGAAAAGTTTTCGGTAATCATGAGTGGTGTTTCGTCAACAAAAGCGTACAACAATACTTTATGTGGACAGGTATTTATTTCTGATTTTCAAGTGGGTTATTTTGTTGGTAGTGAACCAGGATCTCAGAGTTGTTGCTCCAAACCGGGGTTTGATCAAATCCGACATTGTCATTTTTGAAGAATAGACTCACCAAAACAGGTTTCCTTTTCACCTGATGACTGGTTGTTGCATGGGATTGTCCAACCAAAAGGCCGATTTTCAAGAAGCCCACTTGGACTGGAGCTATTTTTAATTTATATCCCACTATTCCTTAACTGACTTTTTTTTAGCTCGGAGTTTGGTCCCGTATCTAGACAGAATATCAGACTACTGCCACGCACCTTTATGCATCCAATTCCCTTTACGAATTTCACGAGAGCGAGAAGTATCAAAACAGGATAGATTAAACTCAGCTACTTCGAATATCTCGTCAGCTCCTTACATACGGTCTAAAATCAAGGCCAATGCAGAATAACAGAATGATAACAGGCGGATCCTGGTTGGGTAAAAGTGCTAAGGATGTTGACACTTCATACAAAGGCAGTGCATGGCCAGCTGAAATTTTCAATCGTTTTCACAAGTTCGGTTTGTATTGTCAAATCGTCGCCGCTTGAGCAAAGCGCAGTAGTCGCGATCTAGAAAGTCGTGAGCGATTGCGCTGGACGGGTCTTTAAAGCTACTAAGTGCTTAGTTCTCTGAGATCTGAAAGCCGTTATCTGACTACGTCCAACGAACGCACACTCTGAATTCGAGGTGATGTACACCAGAGGGCATTGACATTTTTCGACAGATATCTTTTCAGACCTGAGTTGAAGGCGACTTTCGGACACTGTTATACAAAAACATTTGGACAGTGTTTTACGCATTGCTGTTGATGAACAATTCATCCTGCTCATTAGAATGAAGCTAACGCACTCATTCCTAAAGATGTGATAAAGAAGATAAAGGTGAAAAATAAGAATAGATTTCGACCAAAACCAGTACTCCAAAACGGCAGTGTATCAGAAACCTACTTGGAAAGAGCAGTATAAGTAGCCCCCGAGTTCCATGCTGAGTGCGTAAAAACGTAACCTAATGGAAGTTTTATTCCACAAAGGCCGAAAGATCTGTCTTGAAAACTATAGAACAGGAAGAATTTCTTGCAGAGCCCCCCATAAGTAATGGATATTAGCGGAATTCGGCTGGGCACATAACCTGAGGGCACCGCATAAAAGAAAACATCTTTGGAGCCATAAGTTAAGGGTTGATGTTTCACAGTAAAGACTAGTCTGACGCAAGTATCATACATCCGGCGACAAAAAACGTCCATCCTCTTTTCCACTCAAAACATTTCGTTTCGAACCTCGGTGCGCACATCAGTGAGCGATTCTACCTCAGCTATTGCGTATCGGCTCGCCTGCAGGTGCGTGGACACTTGCTTCAACACAAACGAACATAAGGTTGACGGAGACTGCGCCCAGGTAGTGAGCCCCTAGAAGGGAAAAATCGGTCGTGGACTGTCGAATAGTTTTTTTAGTAACCTTATGAATAGTGCATTACTTCCATACAACTTGTCGCGATATCTCGAATACCGTACCAACTGGAACATGAGACAGACCGGTATAGTACATTCGGTTGCTGAAGAACATGATAAACGAGAGATTCAGCTGGGTTCCAAGTGAGTCTTCCGTCAAAACTAAATTCGTATGCAAATGAGTTTCACACGTTACGTGCTATTCGGCACCAAGCCAGCAGTTCGAAAAGGTTACGTCTAAAATTCTACGTCTTCTGTGTTATTCAAATTACTATAGGGGGTAATTACCAGTTGTCCGAAACTTGAACAAGTGACAACACAACCTTCAACGATTGAAGGTAAGCATACGATCCATGGGGCAAAAAGGCGCTCATACATGACAATATTAGCGTGGTCAGCAGGATCACGTTCATAACAGGATGGCCTGGCAGGAATAGAAAGAGGCAGGAACGCAACTCGATTTCCACTCTGAATATACACGGGCGATAAAAGAAGTTGGTAACAATGCTTAAGCGCCCAAGAAAGCTATAGCTGGACTTAGCATACTGACGCGTTAGTCCTTCTACTCAGGGACGTTCACCGCTGAGCTGAGCGGTCCCGTTAGAGTTGTGCTTGTAGCAAACCGGTCACCCACATACTTGACTGCTTAGCTCACAGTCGCCCATTGGATCACGAGACTTGTCTTTTCTCATGCCCACAATCACGTCACATTAAGGTGACTCATCAGACGTCGATTGCACCGTCTAGTGAGCGTAGCAACCTCTCCTTTGCTGACGTGCCCACGTACACGCAAACGGACCTACATATAGGGAAACTGAACACAGTCAGCACAGACTCGCGCGCACGCAGGGAGCAAGGAGTCAACCACACTCCAAGTCCGCGGACAATTATGGAACACGTGTAGCAGCCAAACTGCGGAGGAAACACGTTCCCGCCACCCGGACTTCCACCAAGGGACTCTCGCATACAGTAAGTTCCCTTTTGACTTGCTCCCATTCAGCATTGTATTTATTCTTATACGTGTTCCAAACCAAACTTTTATTAGTGCACATACGTTCTGATTTGTGTTATGGTCATCAACAGCAGTGCACTAATATGCTTACATATAGCAAAATAAAATTCAAGAACAGTAAAGAAACGATCCCCAAAAGCTGCTGGACGCTATAAAGGAGAGACAAAATAGCTGTGGTGATTTTCATAGCATAACGTACTTCGAATGGACAAGTTTACAAAACTGACTGAAGCCGACCTCCAACAACGAGCTTGGAGATGCAGGAGCAAACTTAATTCCGATATGGATGGTGATAGCTGAAAGGTCACCGGAATCCCACCAATGGCTTCATATAAACGTCAGTGTACAAATCGAAGACAAAGGTTTTATTGTGAAACTACGGACAGAGCAATAGCCAACATCAGAGACTACGGAAGCAAAAGAGTAAGAATGAGATACATTGGTTCAGAGAGTAAAAAACATTGCGTTACAAGAAGTAGGACATCAGTCCTCAAATAATTCAATCCAATCTGAATAGGGTAAAAGAAACGAGGTATGGATGAACACAGACGTGTAGTAACTTCCTGAGTTGGAACACCATCAGGGTGTTGAAAGGGAGTCAATAACGGTAAAGGAAGGGTGAAACTGTTGTTTACGGATTAAATCATAAAACATCAGTCGGAATAGGTGGCCATAAATTTGGTGTGGAAGTCTTTCAAGCAATCCACTACGTATTTGATTTTCTCCAAAGTTGGGAGAATAGTGATTCTGAAGCGAAAAAAGTAGCGTTTTAGTGAGGGGAGCACATTTTACCCACGGGAACTGGACAAGCTCGAGAAAATATGAAAAGTATGGGAATACAAGCATATTCATATCAGTCGTGTTTGAACCCTCATCAAGCCTTGATAGAAAACCTGCCGGTAGCGAGCAGTAAACAGAATCAGTCACCATATGACTGAGCCACTTGACTGAGGGTTGAGTAGATTCGTAACCTAACTGCTGATTAACTAATAGTAGCCTAATTTTTAGCTGATCGTCTACCTAACCGGAATGTCACCGAGTCGAATCGCCCTGCCGATACGCGATGTGCAATGATGATTTTCGATAGGGATGAAAAAGCTGCTAATAACCTCTCGGTTTTCCTAGATAAACCGGTGTCACCTGCAGGGTTAGCTCGTCGAAAGCAACCCTGTTTCAAACATATCTGTGGTGCATGTTCTTACTCCGACTCCTAACCATACGGCGATTTGGACAATTGTGCATAATCAGACAAGTGTGTGCACTTAGTTACCTGGCCTGTTGTGTACAGATGCGTATCCGGTCAGTGAACATCTTAATATGGATCACAGTTCAGTTACCGTAATTCACAACGGATAACAAGCCCTTTACATTACGCAGTGAGCCTCCACATGGGCTTCATCCGGTTGGGTCCGTAGTTAACGGGGTTCTAAAATGTGACATACACTGTTCCGAAAAATTCTGTTGCTGGCGACTTTATAGAGTTTGAGCAGGACACATGTTTGCTGAAAAATTCTGATTAGATCACTACATTTGTTTCCTATTGGCAGATGTCCGTGACAAGCTCTCTACCCACCTAGGAGTCACTGACCAAACGAAGACGCAGTGGCAACCACGCAAAGCCTCTTCTTTTACAGTGAATGAATTGAATATTCCTAAATGAGGTTAACGAGAAGTATAAATTAGTGCTTTTCACTGCTTCCTAGAACTCGACGAAACTCCAGTCACTTTGCCGCCCTCAATGTTTAGTTTATTCTCATACTTGTTGGTGCCACGTAGAATGATCCCCTGGCTACCTGAGTGGAAACTTGGACAGTGTGAACTAGCTCGTGAGCGGTGATAACAGTGAGTGTCCCAGATTTGTATCCCTTTGCTTCCATCACCAAATCTCAGACGGGTACATTTAAAATTGGTTACCGGTTTCCCTATGTTAGTTCGCAGCTTCCCCTATAAGTAACTGAGATAAATGCAAATTAACCGATGACCGAACATCCGGGAAAGCGTTGTTTTCGATGGCTGGTTTAACTTTAGTGTAGTGTGTAATAGTGAGCGTTCATAAAAAAATGCAAACCGCCACAGAAGAAGCTCTTACCTAAAATGATAGGTTCCCTCCTGTTGACCAAAACCTGAGCCAGGCACCACGCAGACACCCTTTTCTTCCAAAAGTCGGAGACAGTAAAAGAAGTCTGGTTTCTGTCCCTTCGCCTACAGAAAAAATACCGGTTGGGGATAACAAGTGGGCGAACGCAGTAACAAGTGGACAAGTAATGGATCAAAACAAACCAAAACCTAGCGAAATACTACTGCATACTTATTTGATTTTGAAGGGTGACTTACCTGGAACCCATCTGAACCTCTCGTTTATGGTGTTCTTAGGCGACTGAATGTGCTGCACCAGGCCGCTTCATGTTTCAGTTAGTACAATATTCGAGATATCGCAATATATTGTATAGCCGAAACCTATTTATCTCATTGGAAATTTTTTCTGTGCACCTATGTCCACAACTATATAACCGATTCTTGACTATTTTGCAAGGCTTCCTCCCTCACTGAGCACCTGAGGCATGAATAAATACCCGCCTTAGAATTGCATCTGACGATACACAACATCGACATTGGTTCGGAGACATCAAAGACGAGCATTTACAGAACTCTCCGTGCACTCGCATGTTTGAAACTTCGTGCGTTTGAGGAACGGATAAAGTTGAAGAACTTCTGAGGCATACGCCGCTGAGTAAACGTAATCGGAAGAATAGATACATCCATAGAACCAAACACCTCCCGGAAGTCAATAAACATCAAGATTTTGGTTGACTTGTACATTCAGCGTCACTCTAGCATCTGACAGAATTTCAACATGGGGTCGAAATAGCCTCTACGACGTCGAAATCGCGGTTGTTACTCACAGGCCATGATTTCGTGTGCAGTCGAAAAGCAACAAACAAACAGTGACACCAGAAGTACCAGAGTACCAAAAAATAAATCGAATAATCAAAGATTTGATTTTGTTACAAGACAACGGCTTGTTCCCGCATTGGTACGAGTTTTCAGGGAACTAGATGCCACATGTGTTTCAATTCTAAACAGCACTGTGTTCGCCGGACCTCTATCCAATGCAAACTCGGCAAGGGATTATCTGTGAGCCACAGTGACCATTTCGCTGTGGTTCGGAGGGTCATAGGGGCACAGCATTGCACCAAGTTGGACTTCAGTCTCTCTCCACCAAGCAACGATGAACATAGAAGGAACACCCCAATCTGACGTTTTAATTTTAAGCTTGATAAAAACATATAGGAGTTATGATTAAACAAAAGCACTGTCATGCTATTAGCCTCCATCCTAGAAAATTTCGGACGAAATAGAAATGCAATGAAATTTCGGACTATATATTACTGTGAGTCCTCTCAGTGCTGTAACCTGTAAGTCAGTGAGTAAGTGGAGTTCCAGTAGCATCTCATGAACCTGCGTCGTTCGTTAGCGTCTGCGGCTTCGGGTGGAGTGGCGGATGAGATGCAAACTTTATGGTACCCAAAGGGAACTACTCACAAGGTTGCTGAAAACTCTTCGACAATACACGACCGGTTTCGCCCTTCTTCGGGCTCACCAGGTAGGCACAGTCGCCGATTTTCCGTCAACCTTGTGTTCTACTTGAACCCAAATTGCACTGTTTTCGAGAAATACACTCATTTGCAAATCAATTTGGTTTTCACGGGAGGCTCAACTGAATCTCTCGTTCATGACGTCCTTCAACTGAGTGTGCTGCACGCAGGCCGCCTCATGTTTCACTTGGCACGACATTCGAGATATCGCAGTATATTTTCATACAGGAAACTAATCACAATGCGATATCTCGAATGTCGTGCCAAGTGAAACATGAGGCGGCGAACTCATAGTACCTAGTCATGAAGGTGAAGACCAAGAAACTCAAGCCCATCGATGCTTAGATACCACTTATGGGTTTTTTAAAAAAACGATCTACCCGCATTACTTTTCTTTTAAAAACAGGATAGCAGGAAAGCTAATACCACAATTTTCGTACCCTCGCAAGCATTTTGCAGCCCTCGCGCATCTACTCTTCGTGGTTAGTGGACACTATGTTCCCCTCAGCAAACAAATACACACCGGCGGTAACCGATACTGTTACGGAAGGGTCATCGGATAAGCGGAATATCAAAGTATCATTTCGACCTGTGGAAGAACTGTACGACGTTGAACAGTCTCACCAGTTGCAATCAACTAAGAATATACTGAGTTCCTGTCTGGTTTGGCGAATGTCCTGTGGTCATGTCTACTCCGAGGTTTTGATTAGATTTGCAAGCCCATCTAAGACGGTCGGGTAGTGTACAGTAGGGGACACTGGAATCTGAAGGTTTCCATATTGGAAGACGGACAAGAGACCAAATTAAATCATGACACCTAGATGCCTCATTAGATTACAGAACCGACAATTGCTTACACCTACAATATGACTATGAAGTGCTGTGACCTGCCGATGTGAGTTTATTTCCGTGTGTCTATACCCTAAATTCCCCGATCCAACCATTCGGTGAATTGGAAAACCGCCAGTGTCCACCTGTAACTCCTTCATGTCTGTTTACGTCATGGAATACCACCACATGTAAGTTAATTCTATCCCTCTTACTTTAACTCTGTTATGCCCCCCAAATTTGGCTTCGGCTGCGTTTGGCCTGGTTTTGTTTCAAGTCTATCGTTTACCATGTTGTTCCGGTCTGGTCCCCTGTACACTCGTATAGTTGAAATCCACTTTCCCTATTTGTTTTTATCCCATCTAAAATTACCGCGTAAAACTCTTCGTCACGAAGAGACTGGACCTTACCGTGGTGTGACGACTTGCGCACCTCAGCGACCCATTGAGCTATACTGGGGAGTGTCCCGGCGACACTCACAGAGTCTCTCATACCAGGTTCGTCAATGGTTAGAGGTCTGACGAATACAGTCTCCTGGCCCTCCAGGTTGGGGGTTGGAACATGTGGCGACATGTGTAGAAATGGTAATGCATTTGCATTTCCCGCCAAACACCGCTGCCTTGCGGTTAAGCTTTTGAGCCAAAGGCTTTGGATGAGGACCCTAATCGTCCTCCTGTCTAGGTGTGGGCGCCCTGGCAGTATCCCAGTCCACGTACAACCATGAACTGCACATACACAAATAAATTCATGCCACATCGGCCGTCGCGTGGTGACATCAGCCGGGTCTCCTTACTTGCTGCATACAGCAGGGCGGGTAAGCGCAAACAGGCTACTGCTGACGTCTCTCTTCTTTCTCTTTCACATTCTGTCTCCTCCCCCTCCATGGTTGTACGGCAATGAAGCATCCCTGTTGAACACTGATGTCATGCTGTCGATGATGATGATGACTTCACTAAAGTCATTTTGTAACGCGAATTATTCACCGTGCAGATAGCGGGTGATCATTCCAAGCGCAAAAAACGTCCGCACTTGGGAACACAATACTGTCCACCACAATGCGAGAGAAAATTCAAGGAAGAGGGAAACAAGACTTGTTAAGTTAAACTGTTTTTTAACTACGAGGCTTAAATTGCGAATGGGGAGAGCTCACGGGTATACAGCAACAATTAAACACAAAATAAAGAGTTGGTCACGCATAAAATGGTATTCCGATTCAGATAGGGAGTGAATATATCACACACCGTGAATTGTCACTCACTTCAGCAGCCAAAATGGCTTTGGGTGGCAGTTGAATTCGTGGAAACGCATACATCGCACCTTGGACGGTATTGCACGACATACCAGGCAAGGAATTCAAGGTTGTACTCATCAGATTCGCTTTAAGTCGTAGGTCTTCCAGCACTTGATTTCGTTCGGTGACAAAAGTGGCATACGACGGTTCGTTCTCAGATGGTGGATTGACAATGCATCCTAGCATAGCCTGTGAGAGTTAAAGTCAAAGTAAGCGGATGACTTAGGTTAAGCGACTTGCTTGAGTGGGTGTGTGGGTGGGGGGCGAGATGAGACACACTAACGGTTGGTGATACTGGCAAACGTGGCCTGTTCCAGTGGCCTACGACGCNCTGTGAGAGTTAAAGTCAAAGTAAGCGGATGACTTAGGTTAAGCGACTTGCTTGAGTGGGTGTGTGGGTGGGGGGCGAGATGAGACACACTAACGGTTGGTGATACTGGCAAACGTGGCCTGTTCCAGTGGCCTAAGACGCTCTCGCAACAAAGCTAGTGTCTTCGAGTCCTCGAGTTTCTAGGAGGCCTCTTACAAAAGCGACGATCTTCATAGCAAATTACCATACTTTCTTCCAAAATCAAGCAGACACTGCGTATACTAACCTGAGAAGCTTCAATCTTAAAAGCATTGTCATCTGCCAAAGGAAATTAGGGGTCCAGAAGCGACGAGTTACTAATTGACGGCACAGAGTCCCAACATGTTGAAGCTGCTTACAAATCCACATACTGTAGTAAATAACATTGCAGCAATTTTTCTTCAACACTAAAGAGGTAGTTTACTGTATATGCATCTTGAGAAATAAATATTCCTAAGTATTCACGCCGCCCAACAGTCACAACTAGTTGGATATTTGGTAACAAGCCTGGTATAAAAGGTTCACCTGCTTCGGTGAAGTTTGAATTAAGAATAAAAATAATCACATTCCCCGGAAGGGCGCTCAGTCTTTAACAAATTTCAAACCATTGTGCGGTAGTGTGAAAGAAAACTTAGAACATTGTTTTGATTTAAGGCAACAGGGTATGCAGAAGTAGGATCCACTGCATATTAGGGCTGCGCTGAGGTCTAAACAACTAAGTATAATAAAATAATGATAATCGTTCAGCAGTAACGCACTTTCGGTGCCTAGCTGCCATACCAACCAAAGGAAGCACGAGGGCTGGGATACTACCAGGTCGCCCAAACCTAGACAGAGGAAACACGAACCCTCCGGTCAGTTAATTCGCGTTCTAACCACTGAGTATGAGTAAGTATGGAATTCAAATTCACTCACAGATCATCTCAGAAAGGAGTTCGAAGAATTTTAAAATTTCTAGACGCTGTGGAGTGTTGCGTGATGGGGAAAATGCTGACAACTACACAGCGAATATACTAATTGAAACTGTCCAACATTTGAACTACCAAGATTGGCTTTTAGCAAGGAACAAATAACTGACATTCAACATTATCAATATGCCTAGCCAAAGACTGATTAACAACCTGCCTCGTATGTGGTGTGATTGGTTGATGGTGAAAACGTTTGTGACTACACAGCGAATTAAATTAATGAAACTGTCCGACGTTTCGACCACTAAAGAGGGACTTTATCAAGACTTTGAATCGCCGGGTAGTTTGATTGTGTGGTCACCAACGTTTTTCATCACAAATTAATTCATGGCAGGACATCACGGTGGTCGCTTGAATGTTCGAACAACTGTATCAACAGTGCGGCCATAATCTTGACCCCTAACGAGATAAATAAAGTGATGGAACTTCTGGAGGTTTGGAAAGGATAAAACACACTAGGACACATGATTCAACGTATCGACTGGATTTGTCTGTCGTCTAGAACGCTGTCAGCTTTCCAGCATTTTCAGATTTCGCACACTTGCGGGTTAGGAGTCTTGCAATTTGTCTGTGTATGATACACCACTCCATGGTGCCCAACAAGGACAAAACATTTCTCGATTGTAAGTACGCGGCGAATCGTTGGAATGAAAATTTTTGGAAAACGCCTGTAAAACTACATGGGGATGCTGATTAAATTGAATTTTAGGATGACTGCTACTTGAAAAGCTGGCTCCCGGAAATCAACTACTGTGAGCTCTTTGAACTGCCTGTTTAGAAGATGCAGACCGTAGCAACAATCCAACGCTTGTTTTCAGGAACTAGCGGAGTTCCAACTCTACATACAGGCTGAGTTCGACTTTGGGAGTTTACATTAAAGTAGACTGGGATGCTATTTGAGCTAGGAGCACTAGATACTCATTTTCTTCAAAAATTTGTCACACAGTTCAACCGTTGGTAGGCAACTGCTCAAGCCATTCTCAAATATCTCTGGACTGCACAACTAAGTGTACAATGACCACCCAAATCACGTATGCCGCATTTGATAATTCGCTCAGACAACTACTGAAATGAAGTTATGCAGTAGAACAGCGAGTCCCATGGATCTTAAGAGTCTGTCTTTGTATGTCCATCGGCTTCGCATGGAACCGAGGGCAGCAAGCTGCCTATCAGTGTTGGATGCGTGAAAGCGAAAGATGATGCGAAAGATGACCTTCGAAACTTGGTTGTAGATGTCTCATCACCGGCCAGAGTGACATCATCAGCACGTTGTGGATAGAAATGAATGAATGTTATGCATGCATTAGGTTATATAAGGTATACGCACCCAGACCTATTAAAGGCGATTGGCGTGTATATCCCAATCAGCTTGTCCATCGATCTGTCTTTCAACTGGAGGGCTTTGGGACGACTTCTATGTTCTGTGTACTAACCTTTGTTTGTCTGCCCCTACGGCAAGCCCTATTTATTGGTCCTGGTGGCTAGCTCTAACTGTCATCGTCTAGTTTGCGGTTCTACCCTTATACTGACGCGTAAACAAAGTCGCTCCCTATTGAATTTACTGTGTATACATACCTGAATTCAGATACATTGCTACATAGTACCCCATAAACCAAATGTTTCATGATGAAAAACGATCTACAGACTAAAGGACAACATTGACAAAAACGCAGCCAAGAATAACACAAGTTCAATGCAAAAATGTGAAGATTTCGGCACGTAGGAACTCCGTCAGAAAACTGTGTGAAACATACTTTGTTTGACCGGACAGGAATTCACAAATTGGTGACCCCGGACCACAAAACAGCCGAAACAATAGGCAGTCTAAGCATACTACGAAGCAGCAGTGCACATGTAGGGGTCAGTATCTTTCTAGTTTTCAGTTCAACAAGCATTTGAAATTCGTTTGGTACAGTTGCATGTAAACTGAATGACAAAACATTCAGCGTCAACGACGCTGGGTACGAAGCTTACTTGCGTATACTTTGTATTGTACAGTGACTCTCCCACATGAAACAAAACTCTGGCAGCGCCTGCTTAGAGCAACGTCATAGCCACGCGGCACCACATGTAAACACAAGACCACGGAGTTTTGTCACGAACTCGGATGAATAGAGACAGCCATAATTCTTGGGGGCAGCGCGAACACTCGCAAACCGTAAGACACTGACAGGCGGTAGCGAAGCATCATTGTTGAATACTGATGTTATGTCGATAACGATGAAAACAATGGAAAGGTCATTTTGTGACACTGGCTTACCACCTTCCATATCAACCTCAACTGCCTAGATGTACGCGACAAGTACAACGGTTGGTAAATTAGGTTTTCTCTGGATCGAATGATGGATTATCTCCCTTAAAGAATGCATATGGTCTTGGTGAAGTCATCAGACTCAAGCGAGAGCTCGCGCTAATCTTATATACTTTTACAAAGACTGTTCCCAGGAATAGCTATCCGTTGGACAAGACACACTGTACACGAAGAACCATTTAGAACACCATTGGACCACCCCATGAAATTGAGTGATTATTAATCTAGATCGACAGCTTGAGAGGCCCAGCAATTCATGTACGCAAATCGACTGCGCATTTATAGATTCTAACTTGTTTTGTTAAACTTGTTACGGCCTTCCTGTGATCCATGTCACACCACAATCAACAGAAGTGGTCTCTCTAGAATTAGCGACAACCGGGACTAACACGGCTCCGTTCCACTTACTGTCATCGCGTGTGTGGATTTTCATACTGCGCGGTATTGATCAACTATTGCACTTGGGTACCTACTGTCGCATCACAAAAGTGGAAAACTGAGGTTTACCGTATACATTAGTTTGCTTGTCCGTATATAGTGAGGATTTTCGAACCTGAACCTTCCTTTTGATACCCAATATCGGCTAACGTGGCAGAAGGTTACGTATCAACACTACATGTGTCACGTAGAACAGCCACATCATCACCATCATCGACAGTACAAAATCAATGTTCAACACTCGTGTTTCACTGTCGCAATTTACTTGAAAGCCCTGTTGTTGAGAAAAGATTAAAAACGGATGAGGAAGAGACTTGATGCTAGCCTCCCATAGTCATTCCGGAGTGTCTACACCACCAGATACTCATTCAGACGCACGTCAACACACTCAAGCAAAATCTCTCTTCTTGGTCATCCAACCACTGAATCCACTTTCGATGGCTATTCCAAGTATTGAGTTGAAATTACATCATAACTCGTAATACAACACTCGTAAGGTTGCTAGAAAACATCATAAACGAGAGAATTAACTGGGTTCCATCTGAGTTTCCTGCAAAACAAAATTTGTTTACATCATACATTCTTTTCGTACTACGTCCGATAGTGAGAAAAGGACTTACCTGACCAAGCACCGAGGGGCACAATCTTGCGGATAATGCCTTGTAAAGCTGTGCCCGTACAGCTGGACAAAAATTAGTCAGTTCGCAATAGCCACCACGGAACCCGCACCTGGAATCCATATGTTGAAGAACAAAAACAACTGTGAACAAAAGAGTTGGATTCGGAAGAACTGACAAGAGAACACACTGGTCACACCAAAACTGGCACACATTTGAATAGACCTGCTATACAGCTTGTGGAATGCGGTTCTGATGCTTTTTCCCTTCTAGAACTTTGAAAAAACAAGCGAATTCGGAGATGATCGTACTTCTGAGAACCTAACAGCCCAGTTCCAGTGACTTACCTATTAGGAGGTAAGATGTCATATCAATAAGGAGACAATGTCACGTCCCGAAAAGCTTTAGGAACTGTTTTTCGCGTTGTGAGATTGACTGACTTCGTCCAGCTGTGAGTTCCCTAACAGAACCTAAAAGTTCCCCTATTTTGACTATGCATACAGGCAATAGCATCATCATCGCTAGGGGGATCATCCTTGACAGCAACGGTAGTACTTAAATTAATTTATTCACATTAAACGCAAAATGAAGGAAAGAACAAAAGCAGCCTGGTAAAGGAAATCCTTTGTGATTTGGAAAGCCAGAACATACACATAAAATAGATAAAGTAAGAATGGACACACAGCAGCAGTTCAGTGAAAACATGGGTTCAACAAATGCCTTCAGGTAGCACAGTTCCAACAACACTTTTGGGCACTATTTGTGATTTCGCTGAACAAGGATTTCTTTCCAAGAAAACCGAATTCTTTCCAGTGTCTCAGGACTGTTCAGGTACCTTCATGAAATCATCATACATATTCACTTTCTGTGAGCGAACGCCTTAAAGGTACTCCAATAGCCAGTTAGGAAGGATTCCATCATCCGGTCTACAGCAACATTGAAGGTTGGGCAGCGACAATATTGTTTGACACCAGTAGATTCGTAGAATTAAGGGAAAGACAGTCTGAAGTCTCGTGTCCAAATGGGTCTTCATTCTACCGCTTCAAAAGGCGCAGAAATTTAAGATGCCTTACGCAGTCGACACAAGGCTTGCTGATCGACGGAACAAAACCTTCGGATCATGGAATACATGCGTTCCCGGTCGTTGAAAGAAGTGCTTTTTTCCAAACGTTTATTGAGAGAAAAAAGGAATCGACACACCTCCCAAAAAGGAAACAGTTTTTCCCCTAGAAATCCGGTTTTGCAAGTGAGCGACGTCCTTACGTAGAGTGATGATGGAACAGTTTTCGTCGGAAACTCCTTCGTACTTTTTAAAAATCTAACGTACGACGAAAAATCTGTAAGTAGTGTTTCTCTAATCCATTGGTTCAGCTGTAACACCTTTTCGATACTTAGCTGCCATGCCACACTAGGGCTGGATACTGTTAGTTTGCCCAAGCCTAGACAGGAGAAGTCGAGATGCAGAGGTAGGGTTCGAACCCCGGACCTTCCGGTCAGTGCATTGGCGCACCAACCACTAAGCCATCTCGCCCTAGCATATAGCATAGCGTATAGTTCATATATTCTGCACTAAAATGTCACTAAGTCTATCTCGAAAAAAGCGAAGGTTGGTCGTATTTGGTAAGTGCTCCTTCGCATGGCACATTGAATTCGTGTGACCGGAATGCATCATCCTCAACAATCTTCGAGTTGTTACTATGCGGCCGCAGTACAGTAAATTACACCACATAAAACCGATGATCATTGAATAAGATTTCAGAAATTCTACTAGATAATACTGGCATATTTCTGAACCATATGACGGCCCTGAAGCCTAGTGAGCGTTTGAACACATGCACACCAAAAACATAGCCATTGGTTTGTTCGCTAAGATGGGTACCTAACTGCCCATCCGATGCGAACAAAAAAGCCATCATAACGAATTGAGCCACCGATGACCAATTTGAGCTCGAGATAGCTGTGGTTAAGGTGCGAAATTCCTGACCTGTAGGTTTGTGGTTCGAACTCAATCTCTGCATCTCGACTACACCTGTCTAGATTTGGGCAACCTGGCAGTATCCCAGCCTTCATACTTCCTTCTGATGACACGGCAGCCAGATATCGGAAGGGTTACACCTGAACGACTAACACCCTCTTCAATAACAAACTTTGCAAAACTTACTCTCCCATGTACCCTTTGCTTGCAGACATGAAAGAAGCCAGTTCCAATTGCGTGGAATATGGTGGACCCATTTCATGAAGCACGCGTCTGAAGCTAACCCACGGATGTGTATCAGGTTGGAATACATTGAATTGATACACTTCGTCCGCTAACAACACCAAACGATTCTCCAACGCAAACCGAACAACGTTTTCCATGCATTCACGAGATAATACCTGTCCAGTCGGGTTACCGGGATTGATTACAACAATCGCGCGAGGTATGCAATGGTCCCGAGCCGCATTCAGTGCACGCTCCAGCTCAGGAATGTGCAAAGCCCAGTGGTTATTTTCATCGAGATAGTAGTTGATCTGGTTTCGGGAATATGAGAAAGAAGGAAAGGTGACACTCATAGTTTTAGGATTCACAACATAATCACAGTGAAATTGTAGTTCATTGGCTCAAAAGCACTGGTGTTCTGTGCTTAAGATAAACGCAGTTCACTTACCCGTCCGCTTCAGAGCTTCAAAATCGATTTGGTGCAGTACGGGTTCATTTCCAGGTATTGCTTTGTGACTATGGATTAAAGCTCGTTGGTCGTGGAAAATTCTTGCATTTCCACGCCGTTTCATGCGGTACTTTGAATAGTTTCGCATGCTCCGGAGGTTAAGAAGGATTATTGATCACACTCTGGCTTTGTGACTGTCCCTAGCTGAGTTTACCGACAACCCCCTCCCGCCCTGTAGCAGTCTGCACGTTTTCCTCAGGTTGTATCACAGCTGTGCTGTATGTAAGAGCGCCACAGCTGCACTGTTTGACTCTGTTGAATTTCGAAAGTGTCGGGAGTAATAGGAATCAAGTAATGTTCACGGCCGACAAAAACGTAACCTGCAGCGCTACCACCTGTTCCAGTGTGATTGCCCGTTTATTAAAGTTCCACAGTGGCCAGAAGCACCTGCACGTTTATTAAAGTTCCACAGTGGCCAGAAGGATTTTATAGTACATGTATTCGATAGGGAAGGATGTTCCAGGTTATCGTGCTAACAGGAAGAATTTGCAAACGAGTGTACCACTATTCATCCAGGATCGAGCATCTGGAAACCAAAGCCTATTCTAGCCCACAGCACCTTCTCCGTCCCGTAAGCTGTTGATGTTCGGTTATCTCGTTCGGAAAACTTATGTGATCAAAATTCAGTGCACGGTATGATCTTGTACATCCGAAAACTCATTTTACTTGAATAAAATCGTTTCAAAAAGGATAAATCTTCATCGGAACAATTCGAAAGTCGAACTAAACTACATCGATCACGAGAGCTCAATAAATGATGACACTTTATGGAAACTAGATGTTATACCAGTGTAGTGGAACACGATGTTCCCTCCTAACATGCAACTTTGAATAGAGACCCCACCATACGATTTTATTACGTTAAAGAGAAAAACACAAACCTCTCAAAGCAGACCGGAAAATTTTGATCTCGCTACCACTCCCCAACAGGAAGACCTCAATTTGAAGTCGGGAAACAAACGCTTCTTGATGAAGCTACCGACCTCGGTTTAACTATAGCGATTCCGAGTGTTTGGATACAAATTGTGATTCTGTTGGTTACCTCCGGTGACTGATGGAATTGACAACAGGACTGTCATTCAAAAGTGAAATGTAGATCGCCCGGTTCAGGAGAAAATACATCACGGAAGACTGTCCCTCCAAAGAAAATTCGTTAACGATAGACAATGACCGGGTTATGTCTTCACCCTTAGGGTTCACGAACGGCTCAGAATACAGACTGCCGTTTGTTAACACAAAATCAAGGCCAGTAACGCTCGGCTGCGAAATCAAAGGAACGCAATGTTGACTCCCTTCCGGAGGGTGCGCGGCCGCAGTCTCTCTTCAAATTGGGACTTGGGGAACATTAATAGGGACGAAATTAAAATTTGCGGCTTCCGCCTTCTTCTTGCTGCATTCAACTTCATGTCTCTTCCATCTCTTGAAATTCCTGGTACCGTCAAAGCCCCTGTGTGGCGTCGTTTAGGCTGAGGTTTAACAGACTGCCTAGGGGACTTAAGCCGCGGCCTCGAAGCGATACAAGGTCTTGTGGCAGAAAGTGACAATCAGTGTGCAATCGGAGAACATCACATGTGAAGTCTCCAACGTCATATATAGCGATTGTCATCTCTTCCCAGCAGCGAATGTCTTCCAAAGAGGCGTCTTTCAAGTCACCACACAACTGTTTTGGAAATGACTGCCTAATTCCTTGTTCATAGAATCTTCCAACTACTAGATTGGAGGTTTGTCAATTGGATCTCAGTTTGAATGCAAAAGACATGGAGCGTCGTTTGCCTCTTCTTGGAGGAAACAATTTCGTCCAGGAGAAATCTTGACTATCTTGTAAAGTGCCTCCTGTTTGTGTGGCTCTAATCGGACGAAGCTTTAATATAAGAATGATACTGTAAACAGACCTCGTTACTTGACAGTTTGAATCATGTTTCGATGGAACGTTGCTTGTGTAAAACATCAGGGCGATTCTCTTACCGTTGAAGAAATATCCAAATGAAACAAGCCTTGCATACTGCCGACGCAACCCAACCATAAACAAATGACTGTTTATAGTGCATGGTCCTGTCATTCACTAAACGACAAATTGAGGCCTGAAAGTTTCTCAGCCCTGTCCTCGCACATTATCCTTTCTGCCATACACTGGAGGATTCTGATATACAACTGTATTCATATTTTGGGCAGTTGTGGCCGCACCCTTGAATCTCATTGATAAATGTGGAGTAGATCATTCTATGATGCCAGTCTCCTAGAGAGACATGACACCACATAAGTACGATTAGGTTTTTCAAAGCCTATTACGGGCAGATCCGGTTGAATGTTTCGCGACAAGATGAACCAATGCCTCAACTATTTGACTGGTTAACGCATGGGCTGTAAATAAAATTTACCTATTCTGTTAATGCAAGGTATCAATATAAACAGTTTTTATCCAGTGTAAAATACACCTGTGTAGGCTATCAGCACACATACGCCAGCGAAGTAAAAGCCCTTGTTTGAATACCTATGACTACAAGAAGTTTGATAGACAATAATGCTAACTTTGGTATATTAAGTAATTTGTGTTTGACAATAAATTCCGCGTAAAGAATCAGACGGCGATCAGTCAAACAGCTCAGCAGAACAACAGATACTGAATGGCAACGAACAGTAAGCCGATTCGAAAAAACGGTCCAGGTCTGGCTCCAGATGGCCTGAGACGCCATACTTGTGTGTTGATGTCTACCTCTGCTGCATCTGAACTTTTCGTAATGGATAACAGAGTGGTAATTCTTCGATGAAAAAGTATATCCAAGTGAATCAGAGCGACGGTGTGCTAGTACATAAATATGAACCGTAAGCAAAGGGTGTTTGCTGGCTCAAGCGTTGAGGGTCGATCGGCAAAGAAGAGGCTGTTTACAGACATCTAATCAAGTGAAGGAGCCCCATCCCCAGAGCTTAGACCTACACATACATGAAACAACCAGTTGTAGAAGCTGAGAATCACCGGTCAAGAAAATCCAGACAACCAAAGCACGGTAAGGTAGAATATTGCGATTGGATCTTAAATTTGAGCTTCAGAAATGCAGCAAGGTATTTATTGTCAATCGTATGCGCAAGTGTAGCATGTTCAGTTTTTTAAGTGAAATACCGCGAAAAAATGGGCCCCAAGTGCTACCCTATGCTAGCTGTTTACGGTTAGGGAAACATGTCTCGAATGAGCTTGAAATATAAACATGAACAGCTAACATATTTCTTCACACAAAAACTAACTGTTGACTCAAAATGCATTCACTGGTCGCATAAAAATAGGTCTTGGTCGACCTCCAAATTATGGAACCTTCGGAACTGATCGCTCGCTNTCGCTTCGTTTCAGGTTCAGCAGGTAATCTCTGCTGGGACCTCTTCAATTGTAGAGAGAAAGCGCCATTCAAATATAGTGAACAGCCACGCATATTCTTGAAAATGACTCCGAATTACGAGACAATAACAACCGGACAGTAGAGTAACCGATTATGTTTTATTTAGAACGGCCGCTCAGCTGCACTGCTGAGTGTTCAACTTGCGATATGTGGCGTACGGGGTGTTGAGAAGAATGGATACTAGCCGTGTGGGTAAACAGCTGAGGGGACGCGAACAGGATCGGAATGATGGAGCAATTATTCCATACAGAAAAGCCGGGCCGCAGGTCACAAAGATTTTTACACAGCTCAGTAACCAATGGTAAGTAGACCAGAATGCAGTTCTATCTCGCGTTCCAAATCGGTGAAGGAAAACTAAACTGGCTGACAAAAGTGTCTATTGCTGGTAATCAGCAAACACGTTCACTCGAATCATTGTCCCTTGTTTTACGTGTTCTTGGTCTGAGTGTCACATAACTTGAATCGCAGGCAAAATCCGTTCAGAGTTCTTCAGCAACAGCAACGCTATCATGAGCGGATTTTGGCTACCTAATAACCGAGATCTCAATGGAGAATGAAACTCTACGAATATCATCTGAAGTAGTACGATATGATTGACAGAGGTTGCTTTCATACCCTAAGCAGTCCGACAGTTTCTAACAAGAGTTGAAAGATTAAAGCCCTCCTCCAAGCAGAAAACGTAGAACGTACTCACGCTACCACAAGATGAGATAGTGATACCTAGGATAATAAAGCTCATGAACATTGCTCCACGGTTGGTTTTTCGTCGGATTGCTTTACGATTTTTTTTTAAAAAAAGCGACAATTGTTGGTGGAGTTTTGTGTGCGCAAGCAGACAGATAGCCTCTGCTTTGTTTCTTGAAAAGTATTGCAATGGTAACTTTCTCTCTCCCGGGAGATTACGCCACGGAAGGTATCACTATTGGTCGGCTCCTTGAGGTGGTCTTATAGAGGGGATAACCATAACTCATTTTACAGAAGGGAAAGGGTAAAAAATTACAAACACTCAGGGGAATCGCCTCACACAGCACTCCTGAGCACACCCAATCTGGATAAAAACGTGACGAATGAAAAGTGTAAACTGTCCTACGCAAGATCCCAGAATATTCATGAAATTCATAAGTTGGGAAGCTGGAATTACTGTAGTTCCTTATTCCTTAAAGTGGGTGTGTAGAACCTCAAGATATGAGTAACTAGTACAATTTGAGGTTCTTCGGTGTTACACAGAAGCATCTTATCTAAAAGGTCAGTTGCTGAAGCGCATAGAACAAGCAGAATTACGGTTCACCTATCTACTATCATTAGAAAACCCTTACTCATAACTCATCGAAGTTTCCCCTGAACCCATATCTAAAAGAAATATACCATTACGCAAGATCAGAATTCTCTGAATACGCTAGTGAAAAATTATCCCCCCCACAAACATCATACAGAATGGCTGCTCACTTTAAGCTGCTCACTCCCGTCTACATTCACAACGAACTGTAGCATGAAAAAGCGCAAGCGCCACACCACACGATAGGCACCAAGAATTAGCGCTGACCTCAAGTCCACTGTGGTGAAGGATAGGGACATTCCTCACATGAGGAAGGATACTAACTGTTGGGTGACACATAAACCATTGGTGACCTATCTGAAGAGCACTGATATTGACCTGCTTACTTGATAACTATTGAGCTCGGCGTTGGTAGCGGAGTAGAGCGGATACTGAGGTATCGGAACCATTATGCCGGTTCGGCGGTCCCCTGTTTCACCAGTAGAAAGAAGATAGAGGACGTACTGAAATAAACAATGTAGGCGAAAAAGAAAGGAGAATTGCACGTGATCCAAATAAATGCAAAAAATCGTACAACAGAAAAATAAAAAATATGCCACAGCTTTAGTAAACCTTTAGTTGTCAACAACTGCATTCCGACAGTTGTGCGCAAACGACGCAATCGTATTGAGGTTTACGCGGCACACCACCTTTCAAGAAAGCTTGTTCTGAACACAAGATAACTGGGTAAGAGATCGGGCGAGTTGTCCTGGAAACGGACCTGAAATGTGGCGTGGCCATTCGAGTCTTTCTACTGTTTCATTGACCCAGCGACAATCCAATCTAGCACATATATTCTTTCAAGTAGAGACAACCGACTCTGAAGACAAATTCTTGCGATGCTCAATAGGAACCCAAAATATATGTACAGAAGCCTAGGGTTAATTCCATAGCCAAGCAAGGTATTTGAAAGTGGGTTCAAACCCCCTAAGGAGAGCTTGACTGGACGCCATGCCAATTTCTGATTTTCATCACGACATCCCGGCAGGTATTCAGGAGAACCTAAAATAGACGAGATATAGACAGGACCCTCAATAATATCCCAGCACGAGAGATCATCATAGTTGTATGAACCTCAAGAAGAACACAAGCTCGGCCACGTAATATCATTAAGGCGACGATGAATAGACCTTGAGGAATCCCACAACGTTAAGCTACTCTAAGGGCTTGCACTTTAAAACATCAGGAGAGTGCGATCAAGCAAGTATTTAACGGTGAAGGCGACTGTGAGTGTTTCGTTTCATGAAAGTCTGGTAAACAGCCGGCAGATTTGATGGTGGGCTGAGCAAAAGCGTAACAAGGTAGCACTAATGCAAATCATACAAAACAGCACGTAGAGAACGATCAATACTTATCAAGTTGAATACAGACACTTAGGCAATAATGATGCTCAAGGTGAAAACATTCTAATGAAAGCAAAAATATGCACACAAGGAAAACAAATCCGTCACTAGGGCAACGGCAAAACGGAAATTAAGATCTATCAATGAAAATGAGTGGGACGAGGGGTGAGAGTCAAGTATAGGATGAGAAATAACTATCTACAGTGTCCAGGCGTGGTGGTTATGAGTGCAGAGAGTTGGGTTGGACAAATGAGTGGTTATTACCTCAGCTGCAACCAAAACGCCGTAAAATGTCTTTCAGTATCCTTCATGAAACTGGTAGACAGATTGGGACGCGATTGATACTCTGACCGAGCGACCAAACTCAACTAGATATATGACTGCGACGGTGTTTGTGGATCCGATAACTCCTCTATTCAATGATATAAGATAATGCTGTCTAACGAATTCGTGCAGATGTCTGGTGCTGCGGTATCCCAGGAATAAGCAAAAGTGAATAGAGGAAGTAGCGGCAAATGGGATATTTCAACCTTATTCTGGAAAAAACAACTAGTGGGTGGTGGTGGTGGTAGTGAAGCATAAACGAGGAGTAGAAGCATTCTGTTTAGTTTAGTAAAACAGTCAGTTTTCTTGTTGTTGCCTGAGTTAACAAAAATTCACTTAACTGGTAGAGCTTATGTGCTTGTTTTATTGGAAGTGAAAACGTGGGTGCAGGTTTGACTGAGGTTGAAGTGTTGCTCTCAGAATGGTCATCATTCATGAACCCGATTCACAAAAATATCACCTTCTCAGCTAATATCTCTCCGGTGATTATCCTTTGAGCAGAGTTTTCAAAGCACGCCATCAGTTTTTGTTCAATTGTAACAAAACTATTGGAATATATGGTTGCTCCGGAAACCCGAGCGACGCACTGAGAACAAATTGAGAAAAAATCTGACTCTCTGGCCAGTTTCCGGGGTATACCGTATGTAAGGCAGGGTCGTATTGAGGGTTCACTCGGTTCAGTGTTTCGTCAGACGTGCAAAATATGCTATTGAACTATCGTGTAGAAGTTCTGCACTGGGTGACGGCAGATAGCAGTTGAGTAGTTTCCAGTTTTGCAATATAGACTTCGGAACGTAAGGGCATTGATGGGAGGCCTCTCGCTACTCTGTCTATCAGCCGGTTAGCTCTGTTATCACGTTTGAATCATACGTTTTTCTCTACGCATATGAGTAATAACGGCTGTAGACCGTCTCGCGGAACATCAAGATCAACCCCACTAGTTTTAATAGACTGGCATGAATAACCACTGATTTACCGACAGAACATTCACGAACAGAGATGATAAGTGTAAAGAACCTGATCGGTGTTTAGACCTTGAGTAGAATTCAAAGGCAGTGCAGGCTGTATTTCAATTTCCTACCAGCTCAATAATTTCCGAATCGATAAAATTTTGTATCGGCCAGAGCGGCACATTTGGTTTATGGACCTTGAATAAACCATAGTCTCGGGATAACTGAACAGTCGCATGACAAACAAAGTGTGTTCCTTTATATTTTCTGGAATGTGCATGCTGATGAGTTGCTCAGACCGGAACAACGTCCGGAAGAAGAACAGTTAGACAGTCCATTTGGAGTCGATGCTGAGCGTACAGATAATGGAGAACGGCTTCTTCACTTGTGTGCAGATCATTGTCTGTTCCTGGCCAGTACGAACTTCCAAACAAATGCACACACCCAGTTACTTGGAGACCACCTGCCACAGGACAGTTGTGGACTCAATTGGACCATATGGCTGTCAGATACTGATGGAGAGCCTCAGTCAATAATTGTCGTTTCTTCTGGGGTACGCAACTTAATTCTGATCACGCAATCTTGCGGGCTCGCTTAGCACTTCGTTTTCCGTCAGCACTACGCGTGCCGAAAGAGAGCAGCTCCGTTCATCAACTTCGACAAGTTTCAGTAGCTGAAGAGTATCGAGCTAATATGGAAACGCACAGTCATGTAGATAACGAAGATTGCCTAGAGGATAGATGGAGGCGAGTGAAAGAAGCAATGCTGTCAGCTTTCAGAACTGTTGGTACAACCCATCTGACTCGATTCAATAAACACTGTATACCTTCGATACCAGCAGATCTTATTGCTGCCAGAAAGGCCATACCAGCAAATAGCGATTATGATTGCGCACGCAGATCCCTCAAACATCGGATAATCAGGAGCTTAAAGAATGACAAAGAACGCTAGTGGATTTCGAAAGCTCAGGATATGGAGAAAGCTTTCGCTGAAGGCAAAACCCACGCCCTATTCCAGCTGATCCGATCAACGGGTCAAAAGAAGGCAGGTGTCGGTGAGACAATACGCGAAAAAGACGGAACAGCAATTCACTATCGCAATCGCCGTCTTGAGCGATGGGCTGAGCACTTCCAAGGACAGTTCACCTGGTCTCCTACAACACAATCGCTGGAAGAATCAAGCTGGCCCGCATGAAACATTAATACCAAACCACCATCAGCAACCGAAATCCAGAGTGAGACTTCAATCCTGAAGTGCGACAAGGCACCTGGCCCGGATGGTCTACACCCCGCACTCTTCAAAGAAGGTGAGGAGGTCCTGGTAAACAGTATGGCAACCTTACTACAGAGCTCCTCGACCGTTATCCCAGTTTTCAGAAAGGAAGCAAGAACGCCATGTGAAAAAGCATCGTGGTATCAGTCTGGTATCCGCTACATCTAAGGTGCTCTCTGGCATTATTTTGCGAATGTTGATGGATTATCGGGAAAGACTCAAGAGAATCAAGCTGGGTTTCGCCCTGATCGAGGATGCATCGACCATACCTTTAGCTTGAGACAAATTCTTGAACATCACCACTCCTCTAGACATTCCACGTTAGTCGTTTTATTGGACTTGAAAGCTACTTTTGATTCTGTCGATCGTCATAAACTTTGGCAGTGTCTGGCGGTCAGTGTCCCCTCCAAATTTCTCTCCCTTATGAGGGGGCACTGTATGCGAACTCCTGTGGGCGCGTAGGAGTATACGGGGAGCTCTCGCCTGAGTTCCCCACGGCCAGTGGTGTCAGACAAGGCTGTACTCTCTCCCCTTTCCTCTTTAACTTTGTTACTGAAATGCTACATGAAATTTATCTGCCTGCCTCTAAAACCTCGGGAGTCAAAATGCTCCCGAGACGTTCCCTTACAAACATTGAGTATGCGGACGATATTGCTCCCTTTGTTCAGATACTTTCCAAATGCAAAACGACTTTGAATGACCTAAATAACTCTTACGCACGGTTTGGCATGCACTTCACACCTGCAAAGTGCTGCTACAAGACTGGGTGGAATCAAACCCACACCTCATCCTTGCAGGTGAGCCAATTGACGTGGTAGATAAATTTGTTTACCTGGGCAGCTGTATAAGTTCCAGTGGACTGGCTACAGATGAGAATATTTCTCGAATCGGAAAGGCCAGGGCAGCTTTTCTTAACCTCCGACACCTATGGCGTCGACACGACGTGAGCTTGTCCGTCAAGGGAAGAGTTTATACTGTGGTAGTGCAATCCATACTGCTTTGTGGATCCGAGACGTTACCCCTACGCGCAGAGGACATATAGTTTATACTGTGGTAGTGCAATCCAAACTGCTTTGTGAATCAGAGACGTTACCCCTACGCGCAGAGGACATACGGAAGACGTCAGCATCTGATCATCGGTGTCTCCGCAACATTGGTCAGGTCAGGTGGGGACATCGGATTAGTAATGTTGCGGTACGCCAGATGGTCTTAGGAAGAAGGAACTCTCCCACGATAGATGAATTACTCATACTTTATAAGCTGCGCTGGTTGGGACATTTACTCTGCATGCAAGAAGACCGTCTGCTACACAGAGCTCTTTTTTCTCAGCTCAATGCTGAGTGAAGCGACCGAGAGGTGGATAGTGTATGACCTGGCAACGATGTACGAAAGCACTAACCAGTAAACTTAGTCGGGTGAGCAACTACCGCTTCCCTGGATGGGGACCCACCACCACTGGGGACTCACCAGTGGTTAATGAAATTGGAGTAAATAGCCCAGTCGCGCAGTCAGTGGTGCCTTCAATGCGTAGCTACCAAATTTCCGAACAATCTGAACAGGCCTTCGCCTCCAAGGCTTAGTTGCATGTTTCACTTTCCCGTCTTCCGATGATCTAAACTGGAGCAGCTGGAACCAATGTGCCTATGGCACACGGTTTATAGCTGGTAAATTGATTGATTGATTGACTGATTGTTATATACTCTCCACTGGTCTACGGCATATGAGAAAAGATTAAGCATTTCAGCCGTAGTTGTAAACTGAGCATGCGTTACTAACCTTGACTGCCTCACTAGCGCCAGAGGTGAGGAAAATATTTTCCCAGTCCGTCGGGAATCCATCACGGCGTTCAATGAATCGGGCCACATCTTCTCGGACCACACGCAAACCAAGCGAATCACTATACGACCCTGGGAAAAATTGAAGTCGACACGTTAAAAGAACCGAAAACTATAAGCAATAATAGCGGTAGTAATAATGGATGAACGTGGCCCGAAGAGTTCGCTAAGCCAAGGCCACACAGACTTTTGGTCATTATCGAAAAATTTTCTGCATGCTGTATTGATTTAGGTCTGTTCGCTTAGCTAGAAATATAGCACAAAAATGGCACCCTTTTCACCGGATAATGGACAGACAAGCGTTGCACATGAATTAGCTATTGCAGTTGGTGGGTTCACATCAAGCTAAACACCCGTTTTTCGATCAACTTGTCAAATGTAAACGGACGATGTAGGCTATTGTCTTGGGGCACCGGTCGCTAGGTCGTCTTTTTCAAGTGAAAAACTAATCTACGCATCCTCAGTGCCTGAGCGGTGACATCGAATGTTTGTCCTACCAAAATTGTTCAGATCGAAGACAGAATATTGGCCTCTGTTTTCTGTCACGCATTTTTCGGGTATATGAGATCAGTCAGAGAAAAATATCCCTTTTATGGAGGCTGAATAAATGCGACCAGTTGTACCGCATTCTGATGGGCTTCAGTCCTTGGTCGCACCTTTGGTAAAACAACTAACTCCCGGAAATGTATTGATTACACCTTTTCGCCACAACAGAAATTACCGGTTACCAGAACGCATTCATCCCCCAGAAGCTCTTCCACTTCAATGTGTTGTGTCCATCAGCAGCATCCGACCTAGGTTCTGTTGATGCTCTTACACGGTCAGCTGTTGAGGGGCTCTAGTAACACGGGTCTAAATCAGTTTTACACACCGGTAAGTTTCACTTTAGATCAAAACTGTATTATGGAACGCATGCGTGAGAAGAGAGTGAATGAAAAATTATTCAGGTCATGTTTCAACCATCCCTTGCAATATTCCATAAGAAAAAGGGGCGAGATTTTGATATCCAGACGCTGCCTTAGTTAGACTGAGAAACATATTGTAATGTGTCTTCTACGGTTAGATGGAAATATACCTGATGTCGATTAGTAATTAAGCGATTTCTGCAACTTCGAATGAACTTCATTCGAGTCGCATTGTAAGCTGCAGTGAAATAAACGATTGGTCAAAAATTTAGGATTACGTAAATTTATGCTTTCTGGTAATTGGTCAACGAAGAATGCACTTTCTGAAAGATGACAACCAGACTGGAAACAAAAGGGTGGCACTTGGCCGGCAGCAAAAATTTGCTCCTGTCACTAAACGATATTGACGGATTTCGTCTACTGGACTGCTACATCTCATCGATGGTTGGAAGCACTTACTGACAAGGCAAAATGCCACAACTGTCTGTCTGCTGGAGCCTGTCGGGTTAGGAAGCTCCGTTTTTCGGTAATAACTCTATTCAGTGGCCATTATTCGTTCTTCCATTTTAATGATGATGTCCACGATGTCCATAGAGGAAACGATTATTTGTTATTATTACTATTGTTATTATTACTACAAATCAAATTACATTTCTAAAAGGCATTGTCGTGCTCGACTGACGTAGATGTATAAAACAAATCGACTGTTGCGTCGAATTAGATACCAGGCAAACAGCGAAGCGCAGTGCCACTGTGACGTTCTCTCCTTAGGGATGCTCTCGCCAAGCCTGCTACAGCGCTTGAAAGAAGATATGGTGTGACTATAGAAGCTGATGTGGCAGACCCATACGTAGAATCAATAACCTTGGTCGTAAATCTGCCGAAAACATAACACCGTTTATCTCTGTGAACAGCCATAGTATAGTACAACACGCCCTCGGTGATTCTCAGGGGTGCCGAACTGCTCTCTCCACTAGAATGCGTTCTCCTGGAAAATAATACGACTCATTGCTCTTGTATTTTTAACCCGTTTAAAGGAAAATTCAGTTGAAATTCGGTGTTTTCGAAGAGCAAGACAAGCTTATTTTTGTATAGTCATTTTAACAAGATCCGAGCTTTTCAGCAATCTCATTGACCCAACTGGTATTCGCGTACTTGATCACGACGAAAGTCAAAGAGGAATACAGTGACAGGCTGTCACCTTCATCTTGGTTAACCATCTATATTCGTTCACTCAGCTACAGGGGAATTCCCATTGATTCCACGTTTTGCAGTAATAAATTACGCGCCGCATGGCAGCTACTCTTCTAAACAGGCCCCGCCTGGCTTAACTAGGCCATTTCAGTCGTTACAGCTGCAGGCAGTGGCACGCTCACACCAACCCATAGTCACGTTGGTGAGTGCCTCAACAGCAACACAAACAGTATTCTACAGGCTGGATAAGGCGGGGCTGCTTTGAGCCAGCTGCTTCTACCGAGTATTTCCGAAAGACTGTGGGGGTTATGGTTGCGCAGCACACTGCACTGTCCTATGCATGACAAATTATGCTCGCAGAGACAGACCGGATAATCAGTATTACAATGCTGTAGTGCAGGCAACTGGAGGTGAACTGCCAACGTCACTCTATCGTAGCAGCAGTGATGGGGAATGGAGGTTCAACTATTTGATTTTTTCATGAATCGAAAGGACCAAACAAGCGGTCTCCTATCTTGTTTACTTCATCAGCGCGCGTAAGTGGCCAGGATCAAGCCAGGTGTTCCAACGGGTATCATGCAAAAATGAACCCGCTGAACCGATCAACCAGTGGACGAAAAAACACGCCCATCATTATCAAAAAGGATGTCTTGCCCATCTGTTTAGATGAGTGTACCATTATCCAAACGAAATCATAGCAACTCTCGTCCACTCTACATGTTGAGAGTTTTCCAGCTGAGGAAACAAACATTAGAACCCGACAAAATTCCGCAACATTAACTCTTCAACTAGTTCCATTGACTCTTCGTTTTTCATGCAAATGAGGCATACGTACACTTACCGAAATGCCAGTCGTATTTTTCAGCCATTACAAAGGCTGCTGAATGTTTGTAGTGGTTTTTAACTATCCCATCAGATGAATGATCTGTGAGGTGGATTTAAAACATCTACAACACCCTCCTCAAAATTACTCAGAATACGGGCCAGCACGAAACTTCAGTATCTCGCGACTCGTGTGGCATGGTCACGCATGCTGGGATCCTGGAGCTCAATGACAATCACCGACCAGGTGTAAGGGATTGCAAACTACTTATCGGAGTCCCAATAAACTGTCTTATTATTCCTGAATGTTTATAGTGTACTGGCTACAGGTCGCGTATTGGCCAACGGAGGGCCAAAATGTGAGTAAAATTCAACCAGGATCATCGTGCATAACTTGGGATTTTCGTCGTCGGCCTCGTAGGCACAACTACAAACTCATGAAAATTTTCAATTTGGAGTTGATGTATGGATCAGCCCAACGGATTAGCCAAGACGACTGCATCCAGTCTTTACAATAAACCGTACAGTCAATCTCAGTTAGTCCAAAACTTCGACCAAGAAACCTGGGACCAAAGAACAATCGCGTCCCGCTTGTTTACGTCTAAGGATTAAAGTTTTGTAACCATTTTGAGTCTTCCAAAATATGCACTCGCAAAACGACTATCAAAAAAGACAGTTGAAAGTGACGCTGTGATACTGTTGACGATAATAAGCCAGTGTCGTTTGGTTACGATGTTGGTTTCATGTAGAATGAAACCGAAACCTACCTACGCTGTGACCAGAACAGCTATCCAGCATTCTTCGAGCTCTGGCTTTCGCATCCTCAGGTAATGTATTGTCGTTCAGCAGAGGAGGATAGCTCATCATAGAAATCACTTGGCGCGGAAACGTGATCGGCCGCTGTCCAGTAGCATGACAGTCACCAATATTGCATTTGACTATCTCCGTAAAACCACTGATGGCTCCCTGAATATGTGGACGAAAAAGTAGGTTCGAAATTTACCTGTGAAATCCCCGCCTCTAGTTCACATGCCCTCTGAACGATTGGCCCACGGACAGCATATTCTATGTTGATAATATTCGGGTTGATAGTGTCTGTCGTTAGAACCTTGGAATCACATCCCTTCATCGTCGATCACTAAAATGTAATATGGAGTGGGACGGAAACAAAGTCCTCAAGAAACGAGATATTTATGCAGCAAATAGCAGATACCAAGATACATGCAACGGCTTTACTGATTTGTTTTTTTCGCGAGTGCCTCTCAATATTTCGTCAAACTTGTGTGAGCTGAACTGTTTGTCATTTGCAACATCCTGTAAGAAATCGATGGGTTCCTGAATACCAGGATTTGCTAAAGCCGGCAGACTCAGACGAATTTCATTCGGTTTATTGGTACTTTCAAAAGGTTGCATCAAATTTCTGTGCGGATAAGGCAGGCGACACTTAAGTTAAACAGCACGACGAATTTGAGAGCGGACTATGAAAGCGCCAAAATCATTGGCTTATGCAGTGAATGACTATTCACAGCCAACTGAACACACGAGCGAAACAAAACTAACCATCTCAATAAGTGATTACCTATCAAATGAGCGCCGTCGCGTTTTGGAAGTAACCGATGTGGCAACAATCCCCAAATAAAGTGGGATCGAGAGAAGCGGGAGCGAAATTAAGCGTTAGAAACGCATCAACCTGTCCCTTTCCCGCGCTGTTGGAGATCGGCTATGCCACCGTCACACGAATAGGCCCAAGCGTCTTCAGGTACTTAGCCGATGAGCAGACCATGTAACAAATGTTGAACAAGAACTACATGATTACTTGGGGATAACCAGACCCAGAGTTGTCACCTTGGCGTGGTGATCGGGCTTCTGTGCTCTAATGATCCAGCAGACTACACTGACTGGAACTGTTTTCTAGGGTTCAACCATACCAGCGAGGCTGACGAGGAACATTGAGTTCCCGTCTTTCGAGAAATCGTATTACGAGGCGGTCTGGAGATAAAACCGTACTGTGCTCTGTAATGGGAGCGCGTTTTCCCCCAGGCAACCAGCATGTCCATATATCGAAGCAGAGGTGGGACGGGTAAGAGGTCGATCCTTAGAACTGCACAGTCCGATCGTCCAACAGTTGACTGTAACCACTGCAATCAAGTAATTTGGCGTTGCTCAAAAGACATCTGGTGTGCGAAGCCGCATCATAAGTCAGACAGTAACACCTTCCTCCTTGCGCCATCGAGTTAGGCCAGGTCCCCGAAGCAGAGCAGGTAAAACTGTTCAGTCATCGGCTCCCGACAGGGTCCACAAAGAAAACCCTACCGATTAAAACTTGTGAGTCAGAGGCTAGAGGCAGGGTCCCCGAACAAAACCCTTACCTTCCACTGTCTTGTGGATTGGACTTTCGGATCAAAGGCTTAGGGTCTGGCCTATCGCAAGTACTCTGAGCTGCCTACACCTCCAAGTGCTCAGTTAAACGAGGTGGAAGGAAACTGACGGCACGAACGCCACTAAAATCGATCGGCTGCAATTTCTTACAGTGTCTTCAGCCAAGTGCAGGAAGGGGTCAGGTGTACTCCATCCTGGAAGACGCACCACTCAAACAAAACCCGGAATTTCTTGATTTTCTACACACCCTTCTGCCGAAGCACACGTTGTCCACCTTGTGGTTTGCGCCCTTCTAAAGAAGGGACGGAGAATACTCATCTCGGTAGACGGTGTTTTGGCATGTGTAGCACACGACCGAGCCTCCGCAGTTGATGAAGCTGGATGTTTTCCACCATCGAAGTACCTGCTGCACGACAAAGTACCCGTTTTCCAACTACATCGTTGCGAATTCGTTGAAACCATCTAACGGCTCTAGCGCTTCAGAGGCATGAATGGCCAAAAGCTTGAAGATGTCTCACATTATCTGTAGGCAGAGTCAACGTATTACAACACGGTCCTTACTGTAACCAGGTACCCGCGACACTTGAGACCCAGTGATATGCCTTTTTGACGCCACAAATGACGCAAATTAGTAAACGTGATTCAAGCCTCTGAAATTCCTGTACTGACTTCATCAGACATTTCCGTCCGAGCTAATACAACCACCAATGTATGGAAAATTCTTCACAACCTCCAGTGATTCTCCTTGAATTCTAAAGGGTATTTTCTGAGACCGTACGTTCCGAAGCATAACTTTAAAAGTACAAGCCGCATTTCTGAGGTGGTATAGCAGTGCCCAGTTTATTCAGCAGGGCTTGTGTTCCGCCTTCGTCTTCAAAGATGACTCGTTCAGCTGTAGAATTGTCATCACCATCATCATCAAAGACAGCAACATCAGTGTTGACACTGATGCTTCACAGCCGTACTCTTTGAATGAATCGACAATACAACATAACTACGAAGCAATCGACGGCGATATCGACCTGTTACCAATGATAATTTTTCAAGTACACTCAGTACTGTCACGCTAAAATGACCAAGCTCCTCAGTAGCCGGCATCTCAGCTACTGATGTGCCCTGAGCTGCACTGCCTGATCGGAACGCCAGTAAATGAATCGCTCCTGCCTGCATGTGTTCGCCCTATAAGCGGTAGAAATGCAAATTAGGACAGTTGCCGAAATGGGAAGATTTCAATACGGAAATTAGGCAGACTGAAGCAAGTCGATTAAATCCGAGAACCACTGTCCCAGGAGTATTGAAAAGAATCTATATAGAGTGGAATAATAGTATGATAAACGTTAAGACCCTTCAAAGGATAGAAATCCCCTACTTTGGTTTTATTTCTAGTGCGCGTAGATTTATTTCACCCCAAACGTGGGCGCTGAAACAGCTACTGTAGCAATTCACAAGACAGTCGATCATATCCCGGACTCCGGGAAGCGAATGGGATTGCGAGTCAGTGAAGTCTTGGCGCACCTCAAAAAGCGAGGCACTATCGGAACGCCTGAGTGGTCCAAGCACATCTAAGGGATACAACACTGAAGTCTGAGTAGTGCGAAAACCATACCGTGTTGTCCGTCGACGAAGGTGAACAAGAACGAAGAAAGCGGACACCCTTGTCGGATAGGGACCGTCATACACTCTCGCACATTCAGAAGTGTGTTAATACAAGGACCAAATTATGTTCACAAACTTCCGGGGCATGCCATTTTGTGAAAGTGTAGTTCACAACACTCACCGATCGACAGAATCAAACGCATCCTCGAAGTCAAAGAACAGCAAGAATGGGGGTACTTTACAAATGTGGTGTTACACTAACACCAGGCAGAAGAGACGTGGGCAACGCACCCTTTGCCCGATAAAATCGCGCTTGATTCTCACCAGTCAAAGTTCCGCGTGCCACCGTAAGACGAAAAAGAAGCACTGATGTCAGAAGCCTTGTCACAATAAGAGTTAAACTGACACCTCTGTAGTTACTACATTATTAGCTAGCACGCTTTCTGAAAATGGGCACTACTGTCGATTCACCTCAATTGTCAGGGCGGTATCTTTCTTCTATATGAACCCAAATGGGCCAGACAGTCTCTGGTTGAGAAACCCGCCGCCATCTTTTGACAGAGCAGGTGGAACGTCATCAGGACCAGCAGTACGATGACGCTTCAGTACAGAATTACACCCGGAAACCTCAGGTTGAAAGCAACTCCATATTCACAGTCCAACTTTCTGCTGAGGGCTGATAGCCCGGATTGGAGGTAGCAGGAGGCCAACTGAATTGCTGTACGAAGCATTGTGCCAAGTTTTGCTTTGCTGGATATCAGGGGGCCATTCTAGTCCCTGTAATTTTCACTGAAAAGATAAATCAAGTGAAACAGCCTGTGAACGTTTCCATAATTTTTTGCATCTCTCCTTTCTTTGGCTTTTTGGGTCCACCGATTTGCATGGACACTCAGTGTCCGGTTGAGTTGCGGTTATGGCCAAAGAGGAATCTGTTGCCAGGCATCATGCAAAGCGGTAGTCATATCAGAAAACCAATGTTTGGATGGGACTTTGTACCGCGGTCGGAAGTCCCGACCCTTGGTAGCACTGTAAATGTTCCTTCCCAATGCCGGCGATATCGGACCGCACGTTAGGCGATCGACGAGTGGGTACTGAAAGTTTCGTTTGATTTCTGGGTACACTAGCTTATCAATGCATGGGTGAGATGTGGGAATTTCCTGTATACCTGAAAGGCGCGGCGAAAAATCATTAGAATCACCATCAGACACAGCAACAGCAGTGTTGACACTGATGATCTACTGCAGTAGCAAAAATCAGCAGCGCATAAGCGGATGGTCGGAGTCCACGCTGGCAAGATTGACCATTAGGGGAAAGTATACACTGTGGTAGTGGGATATGCACTCTTTTACGCTTTTTACGCGCAGAGGACATACGAAGGTTATCAGTGTGGTATACCCCGGTGCTTCGCCTTAACCATACTTCACTGGAAGGCCTTGTCATTACCCGTTCTCATCACCAGCATCGAGTTGAGTCCTTCCGTTCATTTGTGCGGCCAAATGAACACCAACTATTCCGGAAGGTTAAAACCTTTCATTCCATCACATTCATCTCAAAATCAACAGTTGGGTTTAGTATCCATATCCCATAAACGGGCGGACGGAACTGCCTTCCATTTTTTAAGTTGTGTGAGTAACAGCCATTGTCTGTAAGCTGTGCAGGACCAGGAGATGCAACTGCACGTCTACGGTTTAAACAGATGACATACCGACGAAGAGAACGAGGCGCCACGAGGCTTTTGAAAAAAGCATGACCTAGAAGTGTCCGGTACATTAATTTAGTTGACATAAATAAACAAATAAACGTCGGAGATTCCAAGAGTCCACAGCAAGAATATGGTTACTGGCAGCAGTCCAAACCACCAAGACCCTGGTGAATGGATGAATGCTGAGCTTTCCTGCACTAGATGAGCGGCGGAAATCCAGCCTTCCGAGGCTCACATTTGTGACAAGGGCCCATTGCAGCTGTTTTCACGGATTCGCGGATTCACGGATTGATACACAGGATCGACGCTATTGCCCAAGTTTCCCGGGTGGCCTTTTGTTCTTGTCGGTCAGTGGCTGTCGTTCACCTGAAAGGCACAAGTGAAAAAGGGTGTAGCACTGCTCATTATGTTCTCAGCGCGGGGCAGTATGCTTGCCAGCGTTAGGATTCGCA